CCATTTAAATAGTGATTAATTAATTTAATAATATTTAGTAATTATTATTCTTCTGATAATTAAAAATATTTTTTATCCAATAAATTAATTAATATACTTTTTATTTATTAATATAATTTTTTTTAAATTATATTATTTTTTTTCAAATAAATTAATTAATATAAATTTTTTTATTAATATATTATTTTTTCGTTTTAAATTAAAATAATTATAATTTTAAATTATAATTTATAATTTTTCATTATAATTAAATTATAAGTATTATTATAATTTATAAAAAAAAAATGACTGGACGAACTTTCTGAACGGTTTTTATGCCGTCCGAACCGGCCGGCCGGACGGGCTAAAAGCCGTCCGGTTCCGGCGGCTAGACGGGCTAAAAGCCGTCCGGTTTCGCCGGCTGGACGATTTTTTTTTTTTTACTTTTTGGAAAAAAATGCCAGGAGCAAAATTGTCCAAGGAAGGGCGGTAAGTAGTAATAGGGGGGGCGGTGAATAGCAATTGAGAAGTATAATCTAAGACCTCGCACCCTTGAAATTCTACAACAAAAAAATGAAAAATATTCGTGTAAGAAAAAACGCATGAAAGAAAAAAAAAAAATTGTGAGGATTGGAAATTATGCCCTTAAAACTTAAAAGTCCTACAAACTGAAATTACAATTCGACTTTTGTTAAGGACTGATAAAATATTTTGATTTTGTTTGGATTTTTTAGTTTGGTATGGTAAAATAATATTAAAATAGTTTAGAATTCTGAATTCTTATTAAAATAATATTTAAAATAAAATAATTAAAATTAATTTGATGTAAGAGTATAAGAGATGATGTGAAGTAATTGTCAGTTAAAATTATGTGAGTAGATGAATAGTGAATTAAAATTGATTTAATGTATAAGAATGATTGAACAGTATTATTTTATTATATCGATAATATTAAAGATAATGAGATTGAGTTATAGTTGAGTTAGAATTGAGTTAAAAAAAATAATTAATTAAAAATGATCCGATTTATTTTGAAAAAAAATCCAAGCATCCTCTTAATTCGAACACACATAATGCGTATCCTAAACATGCGCTAAAAGTATCATAAATAAGCAAAATACAATATGATGCTATTTATATGATAATATTTCTTTTATCTCATATGATATAACAGGTGATTGATCGGAAAAAAATGTGAATTTTATATATTTATTATCGTATTCTTCTGTGCTTAATTTTGTTGGGCTAGCTTGTATATTTTTTGACTTATTATTTCTTTAAGGGGATTTTAGTATTTTAATATTTTTATGTTTTATTTTCAAGATATTGGAGTATTTTTATGAACCACATGATAGTCGAGAATTTGGGCCCAAGAATTGTAATTGCCTGGAAGAACCCAATGTTAGAGTTTTAAGGCCACATATTGGATGTGTTAATTAAGCCCAATAATTGTGGTGCTATTGA